CACAAATAATGTGTAAACACTTAAATTCAACATGCAGGAACATTGCGCAACTGCTTCAATTCAATATTCTATTTGATCAAAACATAAAACAAAATAAACAGAACCCAAGTTCAAAACGAGTGACGGCTTGTGGATTTGGCCCACAGCTTCAATCAAGAGGTTGTTGGACAAATGTACCGCCAATTGTAGCCCCCTTAGCCATCAAACAATTGTCATCAATGGCATCCCCATGAATAATTAAGAAACAACACCGATACCAAAAGAAAGACACAAGTAGTAGAAACATTTCACATTGAAAATCCACTCTCAAAATATAAAATGCTGATAAATAATAAACAAAAAACTCCCGAAGATCTTCTCGAGGAGTCGGGTTCGCACTTGCCATCTTGCGAACAACGAATTGGGTGCCCTCCTCACCCATCCCACACAGGTACTCAAACACAAGTTCTGTGGACACCTGTGAGTCCATTTGGCGTTCCACTTCACCAGGACGAGCCATGACAAATCACGACAAATGACGACAAATGACGACAAATGTCGAGTCAGCCGGGTCACAAAACAGCGAAGTCAAAACTCTCGGGACAGATGTCTGCGGTGATCAGCCAAGATATCAATTTTGAGTGGCAACTGCAATGATTAATGACTGGAATGAGAGGTAATTAAAACAGAATCCCTAAAATACAGACATGTGGGCAACTAGCCTAGAGAGTTGACACAGAACCCATCCCAATGCCCAAGACAAGTCAGTAACACCTGTGTCAGTGACCTTCACGATGAAGAGGTGTTGATCAAGTTCATGACGAAGAGAAACCAAGAGCAGCAAAAGGGCAAGACGGTGGATAAGTAAGGAAAACAATGTAACTAGTAAGTATGTATTTTGTGGACACATGTCACCATTCCCCATGTCTGTATTGGGGATATGTTAATTTTGCATATGCATATGGGATAATCAACCAGAGGATATCAAATATTTCATTTTCATGTCATTCATATCATATGATATCATATGAATATATAGTTTTAAATAACATAAAGTCTCTGCAAACAAAATGTGGCAAAACAAAACTGTAGCTGCAAACAGTTGACTTGAAAAGAAAACAAACATGTGGGTGACGTGATCTTGTTCGATTAAGTCTTCTTATTCAAAACTTTTTTTTTCTCAAAATTTCTCTTTTTCCCATGTTTTCTCATATTTTCCCATGTTTTCCCATGTTTTGCCTCCTTTTTTTGGACAGCAAGATCTGCTAAGGTGTTCAGAGCAGACCTGTAGACACAGTAAGCTCTTTTGAACTCACAAGTGGCCTTTGGGGTGAGTTTTCTTCCACCCCTCAAAATCAAGGTTTCCATCGTGGCAAGTCCTCCGATCAGCCCGCACCAGTACCTTAGTCCATGGGGGCTTTCAAAAACCAGCAAACCGGATTGCCTTTACAGTGGCACTGGATGTAAGTTTTAAAAAATTAACCTGGAAGAACATCTTTTGAACTTTGATAACTAAATTGAAAAAACGTGGAAAGCAAAAGCCATTGGATTTGAATAAGGTTCTATAGGTCTGTTTGGAATGTGTCAAATGCAGTCTATCAACACTCATTCGTGGATTTTGCTTGGAATAGTTCCCCCGGTGGAAAAAACACCCCAGTTGTATGGAACCGATGCGTATAAAATCTTAAGGCTTAAGGGTTGCGAAGGTGGGAAATTTCTCTTTGACCATCTAGTTTAAAGAATCATTGACGGGATGCTTGTAGATGTCATCATCCAAAACAATTTGTTGAAGCGCCCTCGACAGCCAAAAAATCAGATATCGACAGGCCGTGGCAGATAAAATCTTTTGGGACACTGCTGGGTATTGGGCACCACCCTGCGGGCGCAACACACCCGTAGTGAAAAATTTTCTCGCTGCACGATCGGCCACACCTAGGTTGTTCGGTTCACAGTTGCTTTCAAACGAATCTGGCGTTGTTTTATCTGTTGAACTTGCCTGTTGAAGGTCAAACAAATCTACCCCCAGCAAAAACACCAAAACAAACCACCATTACGTTTCCTAGGGACTGGTAGCTTCACACCATTCCCGGTAGTTTGCATACAGCGTGGACAGTTTGTCATCCCTGGTGGATCCTTCAATGAGATTTGGATAGTCACACATGTCAATGAGCACCGACGCCACTGCATCCACACCAAGCGCCAAATGGACAATGTGCATCCAGTCAGGATAGATACCTTAGGGTGTGGCGTTGCAAATGGCCATGTACATACATCAGCACTTATCTACCTGTACATATCGGTTTTGATATTTTTTTGGGTATAAATAAAATTAAATAAATATGTGACTACGTCTATATGTGTATGTTACGAAAGCCAGCCGATAGGCTAGGCAAAGTTGTTTTGGCGAACGAAGTGAGTATTAGGGGGTCTGGGGGGTGGTCGTCGCGTATGGTGTTAAAATCTCGAAATTAGTTGCAGTGGAGGGTGGGCACATTGAACTTTTTTGGGGGGCATGTACCACTACGCAAAGAGGTGACGATAGGCTTCGATTCCCCCTAGGTCCGTTGACTCCGGCAGGAAAAAGGGAGGAAAAAACGAAGGAAATTGAGGGAAAATCGTTGAAAACAGGGGGAAAATCAGGAAAAAGGTAGGAAAAAAACGATGGAAAATAGTTGAAAACAGGGGGAAAATGGAGGAAAATGGAGGAATGACAGGAAAAAGGTAGGAAAAAAACGACAGAAAAGGAAGGAAAATCGTTGAAAGCAGGGGGAAAATGGAGGAAAATGGAGGAATGACAGGAAAAAGGTAGGAAAAAAAACGAAGGCAAATCGTTGAAAACAGGGGGAAAAATGGAGGGCAATAGCGTTTGAAACACGTGGAGTGTACTGTGTGGAGTGACATGGCTTGTCGGAAAATAGTGTGCCTCAACATCTATACCGGTCAAAAATAGTTTTCATCACCAACATGGCTTATACCGCCATTGAAAAAGACACATATACCTCAAATCCATATTCAAAGCGCTTGTGTATCTCATATCAATTTCCCCATTCAAACCCAGATTTCAAACCCACTTTCGCAAAAACTCAGCACATATGATCCATATGAGGGGTTCCTAAAATGGGGTTATACCCCAGTCATCATCCAAGTCATGCAACCATAAGACTTAGTATTGAAACCTGAGGTGACGACTGGGGATCCCCCATGACTTAAGAATTCCCCATATCATCATTGATTTAGTCATCGGTACAGGATCATCCCAGACCAATTGGTTGTATTCTGAATCCCCAAATCATCCCCAAATCATAATACTACAACGGGATATATATGGATATTCTATGGATCTTCTATGGTGATGTAAGGATATTCTATGTTGATATCATGGCATATCACATAGGGGATATACCGTTCTTTTACCCAACAGACACCGTTCTTTTCGCCAAGGCAACTTCTTCGAGCACGGCCCCGTGGCTTTGAACTCCCAGGGTCAGCTGCTGCCTCGCGCGGCCAATGAGACCTGGGCGACCTACGCGCCGGTGCCCGGGATCCATGGAATCATCACTGGAATGGTTTGGATTGGGGGCCTCTGGTAACATACAAAAAACATACACAAAAACGATGGAAAATCGCCATTGTTCATCGGAAAACTCACAAACTAAAGGGTAAACCAACAGTTTGCGAACTGGAAAATCACCATCTTGAGGTAAATCAACTATTTCTATGGGCCATTTCCAATAGCAAACTGTTAGTCATTACCAGAGGGTAACTATCCCCACATGGCTGAAATTCAGGTGAATTATGATGATTCAGCCAGATCCATCATAATCCCTATCAAATGAGGAGCATTGTGGAGCTACGAAGAGTTTCCCAACCACTGGATATTTATTTACCTACTTGTCACGTGTCAGGGGGTGAACGAGTTGATCTTGATTCCCTAGGGATATCTAAGGACCATGGGACAGTACTGGGAAACATAGGGACTGATGTCTCGAATTATTGATGATGTGTCATGTATTTATTTTTATAAGTCATTTAGCTTTTGCTCTGAAGGTGAAATCATAGGGATTGGTTTTCCAACCAATCCGAAGTAGTTTGTTTTGGTCAATTTCAACGAATTCTGCTAATTTGGTGTTGCTGCTTGATTTGGGCCGCAGGACGGTTCATGCAATAGAGAATAAACTAGGCGCTTTTGGTGGATATTGCTCTGGCACCAGGGAATGGTCAAGCAACGGAAAGTTGAGATAGTCCCTTTTCACAGCCCCATGTTGGGTTATAACGGCTATAATGCCACTTACTAACCAGTTCTGGGTCGTGGGGTGATCCTTCAATAAAGCACCATGGCCCATTGTTTCACCACCAGAGCACGCTTTCAGCCGCCCGTTTGGTCAGGTGCTGTACGTTGACTCCCCCGTGGGCACCGGATGGTCGTGGGCCAGGGACCAGGGCTTTGCAAAGAGTCAGGCGGGGCATTTAGGATAGGCTTTGTTTCATCGACATTTTTTTAAATGGATAGGCTGGACATGGCTGGACAAATACGATGAATTATAGTTATAATGAATTCTAGTGACCTCACCGGCCGACCTCACAAGAATGATCGTTTGCATCCTGGGGAATCATCCCAAAATTGGTTCATGTTTGATTTGGAAACCTTGGTTGGGTACCCCCGGAAAATCAAACCTGACAATGGAACATCCTCCAGCTCCAAGTTTGCCACGGCAACTAGCTTGAAATCTTGGATGCAGTGAAGCCAACCCAAGGGGATACCCATTGGTTGTCGTTGCTTCTTTTGTTCCGGCATATTGTTAGTTGAGGCATCTTGGGGCCGAATTTTCCGCTTGTTTTGCTGGTTGAATCTACGATTTTCGGGATTTAGTCCTCTTGTTTTGGTGGTCAAATCAGCAACTTCTGAGGGTTGAATCCACATTTTCTAAAGATAGAGTTTGATTCTGTTCAAATCCTTATCTTTCTTTCATGATTGATTGCCAATTGTTTGGGCCAAAATTCCCAACTTTGATGTCGCTCCCATGTTCCAGTCCGATGTGGCTCGTGCACTGGCGCGCTTTCTGGACATCTTCGCTGCGCGGCACACGGGCAGCCGTCGTTTGGTGCTGGCCGGCGAGTGCGCCACGGGGGCATGGTGTGGTCATCCAGCATGGTTAGAAAGTCCTGTAATTAACATCTGTAAATGGGTAGGGGTTTCGATTAAGTTGGTTTACATAATATATGCACCCATCTAACTCTATCTAGATCTGGAATTCGAAATTGTACGCTTTGGTCCAAAACTGACAGTTAAGCGGTAACAGTTACCATCACGGGAGATCACCTCTGATGATTGGATTGGGATTTGAAGCCTCAAACATGGGGAATTTAGCAATCACACATTGGGATAGTGTTTGATGTGGGACTTGTTGATGTGTCCCAGAGCTTTGGCTTTTTCGGGGGGAAGAAAAATGATACACTTGGCTGCGGATGGCAAAAAATGCCCTCCCATCACAAAAGTGTCAGGTCTTATGGTGGCCACTACGTTCCTTCGCTGGGCAACTATTTGCTTCAGAACCCAGGCCCTTTCCAGTTGGAGGCTGTTATGGTGGGCGACGGCTTGACGGATCCAGCCATACAGGTGTGGGTGATGGGTTGGGTTGGTTCACCCATGGTTGACATATTGGAAGGGTTATATTTAGTTAAACGATTCAAAGAGCATAGCAACATAACAACCATAGATGGGTTGGTTTATTCCGGAAAAATTGGACGAAATCATGGTTTGGAGCAACAAATCTGGGGTCTCCAGGCATCGTTGATAGTCAAAAATGTGAAAGAGGTGCTTTGTTTTTTAGCAGTTTGGGATAGTTTGGGCTAAACCACAGTTGACAGAATGACTGATAATTAGTCAAAGTCAGTCAAAGTGAGTAATTAGTTTTGAAAGACTTAATCCATCAACTAAAGGTGAAAATCCATTGACTAAACCTATTATCCACATCTTCCCGTATTGTTTCCAGGTCTTTCACCAAGAATCATAGCTACTTTCCCTCAGCCAGTCATTGGTTTACACTGTGCCGAGGTGTTGACGAAGCCGCAGGAAGCCTATGCCTTTGGCCTAGTGGATGAGACGAAACTCAAAGAGGTGCGGCGCGGCCGCCGGGCCCTGCCGAATTTTGGGGCAAACCACTGGCTATTTACCCTGTGCTAAGCGACGAAACAATGCTAAACATATGGAAGATCCCCCATTTGTCGAAGGCAACCAACACGTATGACAATACCATGGGATTTGATGAGCTCATCCTGTCTTAAACCCATTACAATGTGCCTTTTAGCAACAAATCATTTGGGTGTCATTACGCTTAGCTAACCCCAACAAAAAATCACCAGAAAGTACCGGGAAATTGCCTGGGAAAATCCGTGAATCGATCGGAGGAGCCACATCTCAACTGCACCCCCCAAGTCTCCATTTAACCGATTTATCTAGATATCGCCTCTTTGTAACACCATAAATCCCAAGTAAATCGCCAGAAATTGTTGATTCATCCAATGTAACTTATAAAATCTTAGAAACAACCGCCTTTTTAAAAAATCTCCATTCACCCAATGGCTGATACCCCTCAAAAATCCCATTGAATTGCCATATTTCATATTTCCCTTTAACTCACCATAAAGTCCGTTATGTTATATGAGTAACCGACAAAATTGTTGTAATACTAATTTAGTGGTCGCTTCGCCTTGGCCTTTCCAAAGTTGCAAAACCTTCATAACCGATAGGGGACGGCCCTATACCGATACCCCATTTGTGATACCTTCGGGCATACTGAAATCCTCACAACCGATAGGGGACGACCCCAATTTGTGCATTGCATTGAATTTAAATGAATTTAACATATAATGTTGCCCGCTACTCATGTACTTGTGCTATCGTGTGCTATTATCGTGTTATTACTATTACTTGACCATTTGGATATAATAGTAATTGTTCTTCCTATTGTTGTTATTTGCGATTTGTTTTATCATTGCTTATGTTCATACATTGTTTAGATAAGATGATTGTTTGTTACAGATCCAGTTTGGTTATATGACTGTTGACTGGAATGATGATCAGTAATGGAAATCATCCCCAAATAGCCTACAAATAGCCTCATTTCAGATTATTGCAGGTTAGTGAAATATTACAAGTTACCCAGGTAGTCCAATTATATTCCAGCATATCCCATTATATCCCATTATTATATCCCATGTAACTCATAAAATAGTATCCCCATAAATTCACGTTCCCTGAAAAATCACCATAAATCCCATTGTTTTTAATCCCATTATATCTCACCATATCCCATTATTATTTGTTAAACTATAATATACCCATTAAGATTTAGTTATATTATGGCAAGTTATTGAATATGCCCACTAACCACTATTATTGGTAATTCTACCCATTTACCTAATAGACAATATACCAATGTGTACTCAGTATACTATCTATTTGATTTATTATCATAATAGATTCTAATTATAATGATATATTATACCAATCCACACGTTTCAATGGATTGGTTTAGGGGAACATCTACAGAATTTACAGAAAACCATCGATTTTCCCATGAAAGATGGGACTTACCGACCCATCAGAAGCAGCGATTTCTGAGGCGCAAAGCTTGGCGCAAGAGGCGCACGCCTTGGCGCAAGAGGCTCATTGGGTGGAAGCTGTTGAGAAACGATGCTCGGTGGTCGTGGGAAATGGTAACCGGTGACCGGGAAACATCGAACTGTTATGAAAATTGGTGGAACATGGTAGGGTTGAGCCGTTAAATAATGGTGGTTTACCCTACAATTTTTGGAACGTGGAGGAATTTCATCGTAACAAATGGTGGAAAAGGGTGAATTTAATCGAACCTTCACAGAGACGGGATTTGACCCTCAGAGTTTTTGGTGGAACAGAAGAGGTTCTACCATCAAACATGTAGAGATTTGACATGAGTTAAGCTTATAATGAATGATGGAAATCGGTGGGTCATCCATTAGTGGCTTGGGATGGTCACCCACCGGGATATATTGACAGATCGCCGGGTTTGACCAACAATAGTGGCGATTTAATTATGATACCGTGGAATATGCCACAATATGTTTTATGGTCTGTACTGAGTAGAAAACTGAGTAATGTGATTTTTCAATGATGATTAAGTGTGTTCATATCATTAACGTCAAAACTAATAGTGATTTTGATTTGTCCAAGAATGTGCTATACACTCAAATGGCCATGTTAATGTGGAACGTGAGGAGAACCCATGAAATTGAAGGGGGGTACTGACAAATAGATATTGACAAATCTTAACTAATGGACATAGTTGTGGCAGCGTCATAGCCATATGAAACCAATATTTTTGGTTGTACACCTTTTTCGCCCAAATATATTTAGTTTACCAATATTTCAAAACCATCTAGCACCACTCTGGTACACATCTTTATGATGGTGCCACTACCCAAACAACAAAAGATAGTATGGTTTCGTCAGTACCCTGTGCTTCTGCTGTATCCACTTCAGGTTTTGTGAAATTGAACATAGCTGTGCTTAATTGTTCTACGATTCTACACTGGTCACCACTGATAGATAGATAGATAGATGGATGGATAGATAGATAGATAGATAGACAGATAGATAGATCGATAGATAGATAGATATATAGATAGGTAGATGGATATGTGCCAATATATCTATATATATATATTGTATATATATATATATATGTGTGTGTGTGTGTTGGTCAGGCAATTTCCAGCTTGCTCATATTGTAGTTTGATCATGTGGGTTACAACCTTCCGGACCCAAAATTACTTCTGTTCAACAATATGTAGTGTTTAACCAAACACAGAGATACACTAGCTGCAGATCTGGGTAATCTTTGGCTTCGCCAAGGATCTGCTATGGAAGACGTGGTGCTGCTCGGCTGATGGGGCCTCCGGGCCTCCATCCACAATGGATCGGATCCAGGTTGTCTCGGGTTTGGCAATTGAGACAACAGCTTGGATACAAATCGCGGATGGCTAACTTACTTCTGGCTGGGATCATTTTCCACTCAAACATATTAGAAATCAATTTATTTTTCTTGGACGTACTTGTCAATCAGAGCATTCAAATGCATTGTGATGCATATGCATGGGGTGTCGCAGCTGCACTGCCATATTCAACAAGGATAACAGATTTACATGCTCAGATATATAGATATATATATATATATACATACATACTCATAACTAGTGCAGCATGGACAATGAGTTAAAAAAATGAATCTTTACCGTCTTCACCCAACATGTTTCTAGCGGGTTCCGGCGGTTATTGTTCCTGGCACAAAGTGCCTGTTCAGGAAGCATGCCTCCGAGATCAATCCCTATGCTCCTTGGTGAGAGGAGGTGTGAAAGCAGATGGGTTACCATGGTGACAACCAGGTGAGCCAGCAAGAATGGATTGTTTTATGGGCACAATGTGGCATAATATATCATAATATGGCATAATATGGCATTTTACTGGGTGTTTCTTTGACCCAACAGCCCCACAGCCGCAGGTTGTTTTTTTTAGGCAGCTCATTGCACAATGTGGCAATAAGGATGTGCGAACCACTGAGCAGTATGGCTGGCTGCAGGACGTGTTGATGGCGATTTTAGGGGCCAGTGGCTTCCCAACGACTTCCCCAGCAATGAAGACACACGATATTTGCAGTGGGAGGAACCACAAAGCATATTGATTCTGGACGGTGAAACCTGCCAAATTGCGCGGAATAAGGGGGTTAAGGACCCAGTAATTTTAAAAAAGGAAAGAAGGATTTTTTTATGTGGGGGAACAGGACTGCAGCCAGGACTAGACTAGAAAATTTCAGACCTCAAACGTTCTGCTCGAAAAAGCTTCAAAAGTCACGAAAATATGCAAAAATAGCTCCAAAATCATGAAAAAAACACAATTCTACGTAGGAAAACTAGCCTCCAAAAAGCATTTTGCAACCATTTGCCAGCTCAGAAGGGTGCTAATATTGGCCTTGGCAACCAAAACAAACAGGGAAAAGACAAAACAAACCCAAAAATCAACAAAAACAAACAACCCTACGTAGGAAACCCAGCCTGCAAAAAGCATAGCGTAACCAATTGCCAGCCTAAGGGAAGATGCTCAAATAAACTTGTGGAAAAAAACATCGAATCAGTGCAAATAAGTTCAACTCTAAACCCTAAACTCACCTTCAAGAATGCTAGTCTTGATTTCAAGCCGCCACAGGCGGAGATTTTTTTTATGGCGTATTTGTTCGGAAAAAACTATTTCAAAAAAAATCTGAAGTTCGAACATTTTGGAAGATAAGGAAAATTTGTGTTTTTTTTTCAGCAGAGGGAAGTAAAACAATCCGGGCAACCTGCCGCAGGCGGAGAATTTTTTTTGGTATTTTTCTAAAATTTCTTATTTCCCAAATAAATCTTAAGTTCCAAAATTTTGGAACTTAAGGAAATTTTGGCATGTTTTATTCGGAGCAGTTTCTTATTTCCAAAAAAAATCTTAAGTTGCAAAATTTTGGAATTTAAGATTTATTTTTTTGGGGGGGGACAATTTCTTATTTCCAAAAAAAATCTTAAGTTCCAAAAGGAATTTTTGGCCACGAAGTTGCCTAGCTAGGGGAGTCCGCCCCCCCCGCGTAAGCCCTCGCAAAATTTTTGGCAGACCTTTTTCAACTCTAAACCCTAAACGTGCCTGCAAGAATGCTAGTCTTGATTGTATGTTTGATAGAAAAAAAATATGTATTTACAAAAAACATCTTAAGTTCCCAATTTTTGGAACTTAAGGAAAATTTGAGAAAAAAAAACGGGAAGTAAAATAATCTGGGCAGCCTGCCGCAGGCGGAGAATTTTTTTTGGTATGTTTTCAAAACAATTTCTTATTTCCCCAAAATTTCTTAAGTTCCAAAATTTTGGAACTTAAGAAAAATTTGAGAAATAAAACAAAAATCAACAGCGAGAAGTAAAACAAACAGGGCTGCCCGCCGCAGGCGGAGATTTTTTTTGGGTATTTTTTTTTGACAAAAACTTATTTCCCAAAAAAATCTTAAGTTCCAAAGAAAATTTTGGATTTGTTTTTCGGAACAATTTCTTATTTCTCAAAAAAAATCTTAGGTTCCAAAATTTTGGAACTTAAGATTTTTATTGGAACAATTTCTTATTTCCCAAAAAAATCTTAAGTTCCAAATCTTGGATTTTTTTTTCGGAACAATTTCTTATTTCCCAAAAAAATCTTAAGTTCCAAAAAAGAAAATTTTGTTTTTTTTTTTCGGAATAATTTCTTATTTCCCAAAAAAACAGCTAGTTTTCCTACGTAGGACTTTTGGAAAAAAGGGCGTAAAAGGATCAGTTCTTTTTTTTTTGAACTTAAGAAAATTTCAGGGAATTAAGGATTTTGTCTGGGGAATTAAGGTTTTTTCTGGGGAATTAAGGGGGAATTAAGGTTTTTTCTGGGGAATTAAGGTTTTTCTCGGGAATTAAGGTTTTTTCTGGGGAATTAAGGTTTTTTCTCTTTAAAAAAAAATATATTTCCCAAAAAAACAATTCCTTAAGCTCCAAAATTTTGGAACTTAAGATTTTTTTGGGAAAAAAGAAATTGATCGGAAAAAAATCTTAAGTTCCAAAATTTTGGGAAATAAGATTTTGTTCGAAAAAAAAACAAAAAATCCTTAGAATTTTTTGGGAAAGAAGAAATTGTTCGGAGAAATAAAAAAGCCAAAATTTTCTTAAGTTTCAAAATTTTGGAAATTAAGAGAATTTTGGGAAATAAGATTTTTTCGCGGAAAAAAAATCCTTAAGTTCCAAAATTTTGGAACTTAAGATTTTTTTGGGAAAGAAGAAGTTGTTCGGAAAAAAATATGCCAAAACTTTCTTAAGTTCCAAAATTTTGGAACTTAAGAGAATTTTGGGAAATAAGATTTTTTCGCGGAAAAAAAATCCTTAAGTTCCAAAATTTTGGAACTTAAGAATTGTTTGGGAAAGAAGAAATTGTTCGGAAAAAAATATGCCAAAACTTTCTTAAGTTCCAAAATTTTGGAACTTAAGAGAATTTGGGGGAAGTAAGAAATTTTTGTAAAAAACAAAAATTCCTTCAGTTCCAAAATTTTGGAACTTAAGATTTTTTCGGAAATATTTTTTTCCGAATAAATACCCACTAAACAAAAAAAAATCCGCCTGCGGCGGCTTGAATTCAACAGGTGACTTTAGGGTTTAGGGTTGAAAAAGGTCTGCCAAAAATTTTGCGAGGGCTTACGCGGGGGGTGCGGACCCCCCTAGCTAGGCAACATCGTGGCCAAAAATTCCTTAAGTTCCAAAATTTTGGAACTTAGAGTTTTGGGAAATAAGAAATTGTTCCGAAAAAAATCGTAAGTTCCAAAATTTTGGACCTTAAGTTTTTTTGGGAAACTTGAATTTTTTGAAAAAAATACTAAAAAAAATTATCCGCCTGCGGCGGGCTGCCCAGATTGTTTTACTTCCCTCTGCTGAAAAAAAATATCTACCAAAATTTCCTTACGTCCCAAAATTTTGGAACTTAAGATGTTTTTTGGAAATGGTTTTTTCCGAACAAAGTCACCGGTGAGTTTAGAGTTTAGAATTGCAAGGAGAATGGTATGTCAGTCAAGGTCCCAAGGTCACTTATGTCACTCAAAAGCACTGTTCAATGCATTTTCAAGTTTTTGAAGTCAAAATAGCAGTTGTTTCATGATAAATTTCCATCTTTGGCAAGTTGATTTTGAAAAATATACTCACAATACATGAAGAAATGAACAAATCAACCAAAATGATGCATTTTTTGCCATTTTGCAGCAAAAAAGACAGTTTTCTACGTATGCAACAGGGCTATTTTTACTCATAAAAATGTGACTCCAGAGTTGGATAAAGCAAAAAATGGAAGAATTGAAGTGACATGATGCATTTTTTGACCATGTTTGGCTCAACGGCAGCATTTTTTAGCATTAAAAAACACTTTCTACGTATGCAACATTGTCATTTTCAAGCGTAAATTTCTTGATTTTGCCCTGAGGGCTGGTACCAATCCAGGCACATACCCCAAAACCTTATTTCCCTAATGTCATTCCTTATTTCCTTTTTTTTTTATTTCCCCCTTATTCCGCGCAATTTGGCAGTGAAACCACCTGCAATTAAAACACGTATAGATTCAGGGGATGCTGGATGTTTTGGGGCCAAATTCTTTCCGATGATGGACTTCTGAGTGAAAGGTAACCTTTTCAAGAACAAGGCCTTTTCAAAGGGGCTTCTTGGGATCCAGTACATTCCAGTAATAAGGATTTATACAAGGATGACCATGGCATGGACGACCATCAACTATATATAGAAACCATCAAACCATCCAGTGGATCAGCGTCAGGAGCGGATGCAGAAGTTCTTTGAGAAGAAGAGCAACAAAGATTTGCTGCACATCCCGGAGAATCTAACCTTTGGCACCTCCCCACAGGCAGAAAAGCAAAAGTGGACAGGATTGTAAGACAAAAGTGACCTGTGCCAAGTCTATGTAGTTTATATACACTGTAATATGTACATAGTTGCGTAAAACCATTATATGTCAGTTGTATTTTCCTGTAAATATTAATAAGTAAAAATATCAATAGTTATATATATATAACTATATATATATAACTAGATATATATGAATATATATATATATTGACGGACTGAAACTTAGAACCTCGTTTTGGAAATTTTCCATACCCCGAAAAAGTACCCGGAACTACCCGCTCAGATTTTGGTAAAATTGATAAAAAAAAAATATGATATTTTTACGTTTTGCGAAACTGTTCACGGTAATCAGAACTTAGAACCACTACCAAAAATGGTGCGCGGAGAGCCAAACATGACTACCCTTAGGCCTTTCGCAGTTTTTGACCCGAAAAGTACCCGTTAAACTAGCTGAGTAATATGATGTGTTGTTTGATGGATTGAACGAAAGATTCTACCTAAAATCATCATAAATGGGTGGTACATGTCACTGTATAAAGCATCCCCAAATGATAGGTTTATTCTTGGGTTTGCCATGGTTTGCCACATGAATGTGCTTGTTTGCCACATATGCTTGTTCACATGAAATCCGATTAGTGGTTGAATCCCATTATAATTTTGGGGAACTGCTTGGAATATATTATATATGAGTATATATATATATATGTATATGTAAGGTGCATTTGGAAATATAGAAACTTGGAACCATTGGCATATACCAGAATAGAGATCTGGAAATTTAAAGGTGCCCCTAAAAACAATGTCTTCTTTGAAAAGGGTTTGAATAGACATGCATATATATATATATACATATATCCCTTGTCTTACAGAAATCGGGAGCTGAAATAGAACACAAAACAAATGTTTGGTGGGAAGACATTGCATTGCGTGCATCCACTGGTGTTCCAGGAGCTACATGAAATCCCAACGAAATCCCATTGGCAATTGAGCTACCCATAAAATGTGGGGAAATGGTTGGAAATAATTGACATATATACATAGAGATATATAAATATATACACATGTTTTTTCCCAACTCCTGGAATCCAAAAAAGGGGAAAATTGACTAGTTTTGGTGTTGACATGTTTTTTCCTCAACTCCTGGAATCCAAAAAATGGGTGAAAATTGACTAGTTTTGGTGTTGACGGAATGTAACTTAGAAACACTACCCTCCAAATAAAGCAAAATCATGTAATATACATACATATGTACATATATATATATATATATATACATATTTTTATGTATTTATATATATATACATGTTTTTTCTCAACTCCTGGAATCCAAAAATAGGTAAAATTGACTAGTTTTGGTGTTGACATATTTTTTCTCAACTCCTGAAGTCCAAAAAATGGGAAAATTGACTAGTTTTCTGTTGACATGTTTTTTTTCTCAACTCCTGGAATCCAAAAAATGGGGAAAATTGACTAGTTTTGGTGTTGACGGAATGAAACTTAGAACCACTACCCTCCAAATATTGCAAAATCATGTAATATACACATGTACCTATATATATATATATACATGTTTTTTCTCAACTCCTGGAATCCAAAAAATGAGGAAAATTGACTAGTTTTGGTGTTGACATGTTTTTTTCTCAACTCCTGGACTCCAAAAAATTTGCAAAATTGATTAGTTTTGGTGTTGACGGACTGAAACTTAGAACCACTACCCTCCAAATATAGCAAAATCATGTAATATACATATGTACATATATATATATATACATATACATGTTTTTTCTCAACTCCTGGAATCCAAAAAATGTGGGAAATTGACCAGTTTTGGTGTTGACATGTTTTTTCTCAACTCCTGGAATCCAAAAAATGGGGAAAATTGACTCGTTTTGGTGTTGACATGTGTTTCTCAACTCCTGGAATCCAAAAAAATGAGAAAATTGAGTAGTTTTGGTGTTGACATATTTCTTTCTCAACTCCTGGAATCCAAAATGGTGAAAATTGACTATTTTGGTGTTGACGTGTTTTTTTCTCAACTCCTGGAATCTCAAAAATGAGGAAAATTGACTAGCTTTGGTGTTGACATGTTTCTTTCTCAACTCCTGGAATCCAAAAAATGGTGAAAATTTACTAGTTTTGGTGTTGAAATGTTTTTTTCTCAACTCCTGGAATTTCAAAAATGAGGAACATTGATTAGTTTTGGTGTTGACATGTTTCTTTCTCAACTCCTGGAATCCAAAAAATGGTGAAAATTGACTCGTTTTGGTGTTGACATGTGTTTCTCAACTCCTGAAATCAAAAAAAATGGGAAAATTGACTAGTTTTGGTGTTGACATATTTCTTTCTCAACTCCTGGAATCCAAAAAATGGTGAAAATTGACTAGTTTTGGTGTGACGTGTTTTTTTCTCAACTCCTGGAATCCAAAAAATGGGGAAAATTGACTAGTTTTGGTGTTGACGGAATGAAACTTAGAACCACTACCCTCTAAATATAGCAAAACCATGTAATATACATATGTACATTTATATATATATATACATATACATGTTTTTTCTCAACTCCTGGAATCAAAAAAATGTGGAAAATTGACTATTTTTGGTGTTGACATGTTTTTTCTCAACTCCTGGACTCCAAAAAATTGGGAAAATTGACTAGTTTTGGTGTTGACGGACTGAAACTTAGAACCACTACCCTCCAAATATAGCAAAATCATGTAATATACACATGTACATATTTATATATATATATATAAATACATGTTTTTTCTCAACTCCTGGAATCCAAAAAATTGGGAAAATTGACTAGCTTTGGTGTTGACATGTTCTTTTCTCAACTCCTGGAATCCAAAAAATGGGGAAAATTGACTAGTTTTGGTGTTGACATGTTTCTTTCTCAACTCCTGGAATCCAAAAAATGGTGAAAATTGACTAGTTTGGGTGTTGACATGTTTCTTTCTCAACTCCTGGAATCCAGAAAATGTGGAAAATTGACTAGCTTTGGTGTTGACATGTTTCTTTCTCAACTCCTGGAATCCAAAAAATGGGGAAAATTGACTAGTTTTGGTGTTGACATGTGTTTTCTCAACTGCTGGAATCCAAAAAATGGGAGAAATTGACTAGTTTTGGTGTTGACGGACTGAAACTTAGAACCACTACCCTCTAAATATAGCAAAATCATGTAATATACACATGTATATATATATATATATGTTTTTTCCCAACTCCTGGAATCCAAAAAATTGTGAAAATTGACTAGTTTTGGTGTTGACGGACTGAAACTTAGAACCACTACTCTCCAAATATAGCAAAATCATGTAATATACATATGTACAAATATACATATATATATATAACTCCTGGAATCCGAAAAATGTGGAAATTGACTAGTTTTGGTGTTTCTCAACTCCTGGAATCCAAAAAATGGGGAAAATTGACTAGTTTTGGTGTTGACGTTTTTTTCTCAACTCCTGGAATCTCAAAAATGAGGAAAATTGACTAGTTTTGGTGTTGACATGTTTCTTTCTCAACTCCTGGAATCCAAGAAATGGTGAAAATTGACTAGTTTTGGTGTTGAAATGTTTTTTCTCAACTCCTGGAATCTCAAAAATGAGGAAAATTGATTAGTTTTGGTGTTGACATGTTTCTTTCTCAACTCCTGGAATCCAAAAAATGGGGAAAATTGACTCGTTTTGGTGTTGACATGTGTTTCTCAACTCCTGGAATCCAAAAAAATTGGAAAATTGACTAGTTTTGGTGTTGACATATTTCTTTCTCAACTCCTGGAATCCAAAATGGTGAAAATTGACTAGTTTTGGTGTGACGTGTTTTTTTCTCAACTCCTGGAATCCAAAAAATGGGGAAAATTGACTAGTTTTGGTGTTGACATGTGTTTTCTCAACTCCTGGAATTCAAAAAATGGGGAAAATTCATTATTTTTGGTGTTGACATGTTTTTTCTCAACTCCTGGTGAAAATTGACTAGTGTTTGGTGTTGAAATGTTTTTTCTCAACTCCTGGAAAATCTATTGGCATGTTGACTCTTTCTCAACTCCTGGATCCAAAAAATGGGGAAAATTGACTCGTTTTGGTGTTGACATGTGTTTCTCAACTCCTGGAATCCAAAAAATTGGAAAATTGACTAGTTTTGGTGTTGACATATTTCTTTCTCAACTCCTGGAATCCAAAATGGTGAAAATTGACTAGTTTTGGTGTGACGTGTTTTTTTCTCAACTCCTGGAATCCAAAAAATGGGGAAAATTGACTAGTTTTGGTGTTGACATGTGTTTTCTCAACTCCTGGAATTCAAAAAATGGGGAAAATTCATTATTTTTGGTGTTGACATGTTTTTTCTCAACTCCTGGACTAATGGGCAAAATTGACTAGTTTTGGTGTTGGCGGGCTGAAACTTAGAACCACTACCCTCCAAATATAGCAAAATCATCTAATATACACATGTACATATTTATATATATATATATCTATATATAAATACATGTTTTTTCTCAACTCCTGGAATCCAAAAAATGAGGAAAATTGACTAGCTTTGGTGTTGACATGTTCTTTTCTCAACTCCTGGAATCCAAAAAATGGGGAAAATTGACTAGTTTTGGTCTTGACATGTTTCTTTCTCAACTCCTGGAATCCAAAAAATGTGAAAATTGACTAGTTTTGGTGTTGACATGTTTCTTTCTCAACTCCTGGAATCCAAAAAATGTGGAAAATTGACTAGCTTTGGTGTTGACATGTTTCTTTCTCAACTCCTGGAATCCAAAAAATGGTGAAAATTGACTAGTTTTGGTGTTGACATGTGTTTTCTCAACTGCTGGAATCCAAAAAATGTGAAAAATTGACTAGTTTTGGTGTTGACGGACTGAAACTTAGAACCACTACCCTCTAAATATAGCAAAATCATGTAATATACACATGTATATATATATATATATATTTATATATATATATAAATGTTTTTTTCTCAACTCCTGGAATCCAAAAAATAGTGAAAATTGACTAGTTTTGGTGTTGACGGACTGAAACTTAGAACCACTACTCTCCAAATATAGCAAAATCATGTAATATACATATGTACAAATATACATATTTTTATATGTATGTATGTATATATATATATATATATAACTACTGGAATCCGAAAAATGTGGAAAATTGACTAGTTTTGGTGTTGACACGTGTTTTCTCAACTCCTGGAATCCAAAAAATGGGGAAAATTGACTAGTTTTGGTGTTGACGTGTTTTTTTTCTCAACCCCTGGAATCTCAAAAATGAGGAAAATTGAGGAGTTTTGGTGTTGAAATGTTTTTTTTCTCAACTCCTGGAATCCAAAAAATGGGGAAAATTGATTAGTTTTGGTGTTGACATATATATATATATAACTCCTGGAATCCGAAAAATGTGGAAAATTGACTATTTTTGGTTTTGACACGTGTTTTCTCAACTCCTGGAATCCAAAAAATGGGGAAAATTGACTAGTTTTGGTGGTGACATGTTTCTTTCTCAATTCCTGGAATCCAAAAAATGGGGAAAATTGACTAGTTTTGGTGTTGACATGTGTCTTTCTCAACTCCTGTTATCCAAAAAATTGTGAAAATTGACTAGTTTTGGTGTTGACATGTTTCTTTCTCAACTCCTGGAATCCAAAAAATGTGGAAAATTGACTAGCTTTGGTGTTGACATGTTTCTTTCTCAACTCCTGGAATCCAAAAAATGGTGAAAATTGACTAGTTTTGGTGTTGACATGTGTTTTCTCAACTGCTGGAATCCAAAAAATGTGAAAAATTGACTAGTTTTGGTGTTGACGGACTGAAACTTAGAACCACACTCCCCAAAATATAGAAAAATCATGACGAGTGATTCTAAGTTGCTCCCAAAACCCCCCGAAATGGGTCAGGTTCTATCTTCTGGGTAAACAATTTGGAAAAAAACCGGGACATTCTAAGTTTCAGACCGTCAATATATATATATATATGCATATATATGTATATATTTATATTTACGGTGTATATACATATATATATATATATATATTTAAAGTTATTATACATGCATACATGTGTGTGCGCGCATCATTCTTGCTATGTTGACTAGATACTGCCTCTCATATCGGAACATGTTGGGACCATCCACTGCACTGAATGCCTCGAGGTGGAAGAAAACCTGAAGGCTGACATCATGAAGTCGCAGAAACCGCACGTGCCGCGGATATTTCTGGGCCTGTGATGGTCAGTTCTTTGTGATTTTATAGGGGTTAATGGTGATTAATGGTGATTAATGGTGATCTCATGTGACCTCACTGGAATCATGGTTAGTACGGGGAAATTTCCCAATATTTATATTTAAATATGCAGTATAATTCGCTAGGGGGCTGACGTTTGCCCGAAATCCATGCACTTCCATGCGGGACTGCAATTCGCTGTGTTGTTTCGGCGCGTGCTTTTTGCAAACTGTGAGCATACCCAGAACATTGATATTCCCGCGTCTGATTGCATTTTTGCGCTTGCCTAAAACGGTGCCAAAATCACCTTGAACATCCTTGAACCATGTCTTAAACATATTCTCCGCAAATTGCAGTGTTTCAAGCCGTGAACTAAGACCGAGACAAACCGTAAAACCTTGAAAGAACCCGAAAAAAAAAAAACGTTTTTTCTAAAACATCAATGGTTTTCTGACTAGATGTCCCTCAAGCATCCTTAAACAACTATATCACCCAGTGATCACAACACATTTTTCATCGCAAGGTTTGTGTTTTCAGGGTAGCCCTATGGAAGGCTCCATGAGGTCGACCAAGGTATGAGTTCAATTTTCCAGGCATTTCACCATGCAGCGATGATGGGCATCCCTATGGTCCGGTAGCGCCTTCGCTGGTCACTTCAGACCGGTGGTGGCACCGTTTGTCACCGTTTCACCGTGCTGGAATCAGCTTTCACCGTGATGGCTGGGCCCAGGTGGAAAGTTTGTTGAATGCCGGTGTGCGCGTGCTGCTCTACCAGGGGCAGTTTGACTGGAGACTTGTCTCGAGAGATTCCATCCACTTGGAGAGATTGCAATCCACATATTTCATTCTCTATGAGGATTTTTATGGACAACACTTAGGTCATTTTGCCACATGTTAGTGACGCCACATGATTTTTTTTACTGACCTCAGTGTGACGTCACAATGATGGCCAGGATTGAGGTATCCCAAAATGCCCTTTCTGAAGGGGATGGGCTCCCTTCTGCAAAGGGGGCTTTATTTCAGGGTGGTGAAAAATTACACTTCATCCAGATACCATCCGGTAAATTGACCTAACCATAGTAAAATCACCATCTCAATGGCAAAATCAACTATAAATGGTCCATGTTCAAAGGCTATGTCAAATTATTAGAGGGTACCATCTGGTAAACTAACATAGCTATTGAAAATGGCCATTTATAGTGAGTTTTCCCATGAAAAAATGCTGATGTTCCATAGCTATGTTAGTTTACCAGAGGGTAGACATTTCCATATGTCCACGGTTTTGGACTTTGGCCAGACGACCGGGTTTGAATCCACTGGTTTCACTGCAGTCATGGGGAGCCAGAAAACTGGGGGTTCCGTAAATGGGGGTACCCCCAAATGGATGGTTTATTTCATGGAGAAATTCCAATCTAAAATGGATGATTTAAGGGTACCGCTATTTTAGGAAATCCATATATATATATATATATACTGTAATATGTCTCCAACTGTATCTCATCGCTGAACGTCCGATGAATTTTGCCATGCCCTGTCAAATTTGCCATATTTGCTGCAAATGTTGGATGCTGAAATGTGGCGCACAACCTCGTGAAACAGCACCCACCCAAAAAATGGTGCTTTTCAAGTCCTAGCAGCAATGGAAAATAACATGACTGCTAACATGACCGGGGTTGGTAGACACATATTGTGACATCGAATGCAAAGCAACACAGCACAATACAATACAATACTATACTTTACTTTACTATACTATGCTGGTACTATACTTGTACAATACAAATACAATACAATACAATAGAATACAATACAATACAATACACTGAATACACAATGCAACGCAAGACAATGCAATACAGGTCAGCATGATCAGTACATAACCATATTGTGATCCACCAGGGCCCAGGGCTAAAAGGGGCGGTCCCGGTCCAACGACTGAGGAAAGATGGCTTTGTCTCCAATGAAGCGTGGATCCGGACATTGTCCTGGGCAGGCGCGGTCGAGTATCGACTCAAAATTTACCTCGGTGACGAAATTTACCAAGATTGTCTAAATTATAAGATTGTTGCTTGATGATATGAACAATCATAATTCAATCACCATGAGACTTGTTTTCGTGTTAATCAATTCAATTAGTAGATGTTATTGGCTTATTATTGAATCAGTTAGTAGATGTTATTAACATTTATTTGGTTGGTGGTTTGGAACATGGCTTTGATTTTCCATAATATATGGGATAATCCTTCCTATGGACGAACTCATATTTTTCAAGATGTTTCAAACCACCAACCAGTTATTGACTTATTAACCCAGCCATCAATCCACGCAGTGAACCACCGCTTTCCCAGGCACCCAGCAGTTTCTCAGCTCATCGCGGCAGCTCTGGCGCCGGACGGACCAGCAGCTGGCGGGCTACTGGAAGAGCTACGAGAACTTGGCCGCTGGCGCAGCGGTTGGTACGGTGATTGATGATGATGGTGGTGGATGGGCCAGCGATTTTTCCGGTTATCACCAGAGGACGGTGGTAAACATTCCATGATTTTGTTTGGGTTGAACACCATCCGTTTGGTGATGCAGGATTTCGCTGGCCCATCCACAGTAACTATGATGCATTAATTATTCTTAATGGTTTATATCATGGCATTTACATGGCATTTACCAACCATAATTCTATGAGGTGAATAAACCGACTGGCATTTACCAATCACAATAGTCAGAATGGGGATGTAGGTATGGGGATGTAAGGATCTAATGGGATTAATGGGAGGTTTCCTAAAAGGGTGGTTTGGGCCCAGATCATCCACGTCATTCGACCATTTTACTATTGAAACCCATGATTTTGGGGATCCCATTTTTTTAGATCCCCCCAATGTAATCATCATATTACAATGGGGTATATTATTCAAATATATAAGAAAGATTGAATGGAATATATTTAAGCAATTATATGGGTATATGGAACTATCAGGATACAGCTTTTTATGGGGATATTCTATGGGAATATCATTGGATAATAAAAGGATACAACGGGGTATAGATCCACTGGGAGGACCACCCTACTTATGAATTGGTTAGTAGATGGGCTTTTAGCCCAATGATGAACGGGAATATCCAGGGGACTTGCTAACCAACCAGTTTCCAAGTTTGATGATCCTCCAAGCAATGTAGTAATCCGAATAAGAATGGGGCTTAACTATAGAAAAAATTGGGTTTTCATACATACAGTAAATAACATACATACACATATATATTTTATATTATATGTGATTCAGTGTGCGTGTGTATTCATGTAAAATTGAAATTGTTCATCAGAAACTGGAGTTTAACAATGAACAGCGGGAGTTCACCAGCAGAAATAGTTGGTTGATGTGATATATATATAATATATATATATATAATATTACAGCCAAAAGACAAAGCCGTTCCTTTTTTTAAGAAATGACTATATTTAGTTGCGTCGAAGCTTTCCCTGGAAGTCGTGCCTTTTTGCAAAACGCAAGCAAACTCTGGTGATCTCAGCGCAACTATGTTCTTAAGTGTTTTTGTGTTTTCTCTTGCGTTCAGCTTGGGTTTAGGTATCTACTTGTGCTTAGGGTATATGTAGTTTTTGTTGCGTTCAGTTGGGGGAATTTGTTTTTTGTTGCAGCTGCTTTCTTATCAGTGACTTCTGTACGTTCAACTGTATTTAGCAACTACTGCTAAACTGCTGCTCAATTGCTTGCTGTTGCTCAGTTGCTGCCGCTGGCTACTGCCGAACTGCTGCCGGATTGCTTCTGAACTACTATACCGCTAGGCTTACGTCGTACCAAGTGACCTGAAGTCGTATCACACCTGCGTGCGCGCAGTGTTTCGTTTAGATTTTGATAGTTCTTTTCTCTTGTTTGCTGCAGCTGGTCTCTCTCTTTGCTTGGTCGTTGTTTCTTGTCTCTGCCTGTGCAGTGCTGCTGGGTGCTGTTGAAGCACATCAGGCACATCATGCGACATGCAGGTGAGTAGGAGACAAGTAGGACACAAGTGGAGACAAGTTCGAGACAAGTGTATAACATTGTATAGCCAGGCGGCCTAGAGCACCCAGACCGTAGTCGGAGAGCATGCCAGGAATGCAGGCCCGGAGACACAAGCAAAATAATGCGACCCAGGACTGCAACCCTTGCAAAGGAGTAAGAACTTACAAACTGCCTTGGCCTCTTTCTGTGTAAGGGGCCATGGCTACCCAGTATCTATTTACAGAATTCTTACCGAGAACCCCATACAGATAAACCCGTTTGGGGAAGAAAGTGGGCAAATAAGAAATATTGAGTCGCAAGGGCAGGGAAAAAAATGAAGCGAAAGTGAAAGGTTCCGATTTGGAAAGGGCTATTTTGACGCTTGCGTTCACAATGGGGGAAGGCCAAAAGGCATGACTTAGGCATGACTTCTTGATGTTGCGTTCACAAGTGGGGAAAGCGAAAGGAGTGACTTAGGCATGACTTTGTCGGGTCCCTGTATGTGTCATATTTGCATATGTATACAACAAGTGTGATAAATCCAATGCCATAAATCGTTTATGAGATTGGGTATGCTATTGTGATTGGGATGATGTTTGGTAGTCAATAGCAAACCCACCGTTTTTAAGGTTTTCTCAATGGCTGCGTGTAGGAGCACATCCATTAGTCAGTATGATTCCAGTGCACTTTGAGCAGCAGAAATTGCGACATATGCAGGTGAATAGATGGAATCTCTGGTGGCAAGTTTATGGATTGCTGTAAGTGTGCGGCTTTTAAAAGAATGCGTAGACAGCACCGAAGCGGAGTGATTACCCTCTGGTAAACTAACATAACTATGGAAAATCCCCATTGTTTAATGTGTAAATCAACTATAAATGGCCATTTTCAATAGCTATGTTAGTTTACCAGAGGGTATTCGTAATTGTTCTGCCTCAGATTTGGTCATCAATTGGGATCTGAGCACCCTGGGCAAACACGGTCACACCTTTCTGCAGGGTATGCAGTGAACATTTTGCACTGTAAGATCCAAGATATGTTCTTATTTGCTCAAAACCCAGTTTTTTTTTTCGATGTTGTGTCAATCGTTAGGTTCACTGTTTGGCTATTTATTAATTCTCCCATGCTCAGCAGGTTTGACAGATTGATAAACTGTTCACTGACGGTTCTTCATTTGTATTGACTGTAAGAAGTCTATATTGGTCACCATGTTTGATGGTAAACGCCAATGTGTTTCGGTATTGTTTATGGTAAGATCTCAATGTTTCACACTTGTTGCTGGAAAATCTAGTGTGTTACACACTGTTGGATGATAAACCACCAAAAAAAAAATCACAACATGTTTGATGCTTCTATAGATTCTTTTTTTTCACTCTCTTGGATGATTCAGCCCCAAACAAGCACAATGACTGGTGCCGGGTGAACCGAGGAACAGGTCTTGGTGCTTGGCGCCGGTCATTTGGTGCCCATGGACCAACCGCTCTCTGCGGTGGTCACTCGGTTTAGTCAACTACGAAACCTAGGGATGATGGAATTGGGTTTCTTTGATATTGCATATATATATATGTGTGTGTGTATGAGTACCGTTATATCCTAATGATGATTTTCCAACAACGCGGATGATTGCGGATTGTTCATGTGCATGAACTAGTCTAGGATGCATATGCATATACACAGAGTTTTTTGGCGCAAATATTGCATATATATTTTTTTTCCAAGGTGTTTTGTTGAGCTTATCAGAATGGTTTCAATGTGTTTTCGATGTTTTGTTCCTCTTCTTTTTGGCAGGAACATTTTTTTCCTGGGCCATACGGTTTTTACATGTTTTTACCAGTAATTGACTTTATACATAAGTTGTTTGCTGCACAGTTTCCCGGTTTACCAATTTGGGGCACGACATTGGTTATATTGGTGAAATTTGAAATGTGGAACCCCAAGGGTTATTATTCATGTCAATTGAGTTCCGAGTAAACATGTTTTCCAAAGCCCTTGTTTTCGGTGTACTGTATATTTTCTAGTTTTGATTCGTGTTTGTGGGGTGGTTCCGACTTGATCGAAAAAAGAAACATCAGGGTTCCCTCTAAAGTTTAGAGGTGTCAAGTTTGAGTCAAGTAGCGACATGTTCTGCTTCAAGACAAATTCGCCTTGAGATGAAGCTCTGATCAACAACTCTCATGTTTGATACTAAAATCCTCTTCTTCATGGTTGTTACAAGTATGTTTCTTCAATTCTTGATGTATCTAAGGTGATCCATAATTTATTTGTTGGCCAACATCTTCTCATGTTTGTTGGTTTCAACTTGTTTGTAGTGAATTTCAAAGACGCCATGCGGGTAGGCTTTTTTTTTTGCGCAAAACCTTGTTTTTGAGTAACGCAAGGCAGTTTTGTGAGCCAAGAACCACGCCATACCAGATGGTTGGTTATATCCCATGGATTGCCCCAAGAAATCCCATGAACTGGTTCATTGGTTGTTGGTTTTGATCCCACATCATACCGAATCCTCAGGTAGTATCCCCATACTCAATACTCTCCGAAGGCTTGATGGCCAACGACCAAGTTCTCCATCTAACAATATGATCCATCGATTGCCTCCTTCAAATCCTCAGTTATTGGCTATGTTTTTGGTCTCCATCCCTGATTATTGGACATTTTTGTATGCCCATTCAGCTATAGCAGCCCCCAAGAAGATGTAGAAACAGAAAATCCGAGTGGCTGCTGTAAAGCCGCTACAACCATGCGCACAACAGCAGTCATCATGTGTTATGGACCTGATATTTGAGGTCATATAGTCATATAGCCATGATATTTACTGTAGCTGGTGCATTCTATTTTTCCAGATGGGGAAATTGGATGAAATTGGGAATATACATGATACAGCTTGTTAATTTTACTTATCCAGATGGGATGATTCGGAATGTCTATCTATATGTCTATCTATCTATCTATCTATCTATCTATCTATCTATCTATCTATCTATCTATCTATCTATCTATCTATCTATCTATCTATCTATCTATCTATCTATCTATCTATCTATCTATCTTGTTGCATATCAACGGTTAGGTAGGTTTGGGATAAGCAGCTGACTCTCATGATGCATGTTCTAACTCGATCGTTTCCCTTGCGCTCTATATATATTATAATATCTCTCTCGAGTTTATTATATATATATGGAGTCTCCTTTTATTTTATACCAAGTGCAGTGTCCTGATGTGATCACTAAGGACTCGATGCGGTCGTTTGCCATTTTGGCACAAAGAACGAGTGATCACAGTCAGGCCACAGCTCTTTTCGATCTAAGAGGATCGCTGTTTTTAGGGCCTGGGACTAGATCACTTAAGTATGTCTTTTCCTCCTTGTAGCCCGGCTCCATTGGAACGTCAGAGAGCCATGGCAGCTGCTCGAGCCAGTGTTGGAGGTGATCACCTTGCACCTGAGGACAGTGCCTCACAGGTGTCCTGGAGTGTGGTCGTGGATGAACAGCGCAATGTGGAGCCTGTTCAGGAAGTGCCAATGCAGTTCCCTGAGCCTAAGGCACCACCGCCCGGGTTCAGACACCAAGGTGAGCCGGCTCCTGGCTATGCAGCCCAAGGACAGGATCAACCCAAGAGTCGTGTGTCAAGCTCAAGCGGAAGTGCACCCTTCCCACCTGCTGATGCGGCTCTCTTTTTCACTGACCCTGCTCAAGCCCCTGCTCAGAGTGCTGCTGCTCCAGCTACTCAGGCAGCACGTGATTTGCTTGGAAGCGCTCAGAAGCAGGCAGCTCGCCTGGCAAAGCAGAAAGCTCAGGCAAAGAGGCGTGGTCATCGTGCAGTTAGGTGGGGACAGATGCCTGGCCTTGATGCTCAGAATTTCCAGCTCCCAACGTTCATCAGGCAGTTGGGTGCTGGCCAAGATGAACGATCAATGCTTGTGATTGATAGCCGCGATCGGCGCATTCAGTCCCCCTACCAGGGATGGCTGCTGGACGAGATCTTGCTGAACGCCCAGTCTGGGGTGAACGTCCTGGTCGATCGACAACTTGCCAGATCGCCAAACAAGGGCTACCACCTCAACTTGTTCTATGTGAGGACGATGGACGGGTTCAAGTTCATCTTGGTAGGATCAATGACGTCTTACGGGACGGTGCCAGCAGCTCGCTGGGATGCAGACACGGGGAAGATCATGGCCCACCCGGCCTTTCAACCTTTTCGTTGGCCGATGATGACTGACGAATCTGCAACCTGGGTCGATGTGAAAGTCAAGGTTGAAGGAGGTCTTCTTCTACACCTTGAGCTGCGCGGCTACCGATCGAACACTGACATGACGGTTCAGATGAACTACGTCAATGATGCTCTCATGGCGAACCTTAGGGACTGCCTTTTTGTGCCGTCCTGCATCGTCACGGTGTTCCACGGATGGAGGGTGGTGGCAACCTCGTTCGAGGTGGGAGGGCGTCTGTACGCCTGCAGTGATGGTGGGACGGTCGTGGCCCTGGACTTTCCTTTGTGCTACTTTGAAGTCCGGCTCACTGCGCTCTCTTCCACGGACTCGATCGGGATGGATGCAGACCGCTTAGAGTTCCGATTCAGGTCATCCGGTGATCAGCTGGACGTTGCATGTTCTCAGGTGGTGGTTCCATCAACTTGGCTGGTTGTGTCGCGTGTGTCAGGGCCCACCTTGATCAAGAATGCTCGTTGGTGTCGTGAGCATCATGCAAGGGTGGAAGGCCCTGATCAGACCATGCAATTGTCACAGCTAGCCGGGATCCATGCACACTGGACTGCATCGATCGAAGCAGAGTCCGTTGATGACACGGGTCCGAGGGTGAGTGCGGTCGCGGTGGATTCTCACCCGGCCAACTATCACCTCACCTGTGAGTCTCCCTTGTTCAGGGCAGCGAAGTCGTTGGTGCCAACCGATGCACTGGCTCTGCAGGCGCACAATGTGGCTCTGGAACAGGAGACGATCGTGCTCCCGCCGGTGACGGGTGGGCCATCAGTGGTGCCAAGATCATCAGTTGCGGCCCCTCTACAAGCATTGGCTGGACCGTCGGCTCCTGCACTGGTTGTGGCGCCCAATGTTCAAGCCGAAGTCTCCATGACTGAGCCGGGTCAAGCCCCAGCCTCGGGAGCCATGGGAGGCTCGGTACATGTGCAAAGGCGATCGCTTGAAGCTCGCCAACAAGAGAGGATCTCAGTGGCAGCCGTGACGCCACAAACTTTTCTTGATCAGGTGTATCAGGCGGTCCCGGGACGCCCAGTCAGTTTTGGACCGGCTCCGACCGTTGAAGAAGTGACGGAGACCTGACCTTGATCAAGAAGTTTGAAATTCACCGAGTTTGCAAGGTGGCGGAATGTATCAGGCCGCAGCACGATCGCTGGCCGAATGCTCTGAAAAATCATTAGCTGCTGCGAGAGCTGTGCAAACACCCTCAGTTTAGGTCTCTTGTTTTCCCGTTGTTCACCCTGGTTTTTCCCCGTTTTGGTTTGGTTTAACTTGGGTCAATGGGTTTCCTAGGGACCTAATTTCTGAGGTGTTTGCTCTGTGAGACCCCACAATTTTGAACGGGTGGGATTTGATCACATCCAGCTCGTTCATGGGGACGGCTCCCATATTTTTCACTTGGCCCAGGCGAGGGCCCCAGTTCGCTCGGCTGTGGGATCTCAGACCGGACGTGATGTTAGAGCGACTGTTCCGATATGGGGTATGATCTCCATAGCTCTGGTCAGTCATCTTTCTCTGTCTGGTCGATCGACCACATAAAGCTGTCAAGTTTTTGCATTTATGATTTTGGTCACGATTTATGCATGATACAAGTTGATGTATTTCGTTCATTTGATTTTAATTGCTCTTTGACGCCATGCCTGTGACACCACCTCATGCAGTAGTTCACACATGTTTGCATGTTCATGCTTTTGAGGCGTTAAGGTTCGAGGTGCAATGATTGCTCTCTTAACCGACTTGACACTCTCATGTGTGCACTGTTCATGTTGTGTGGGGGTTCACAGGGAAGTCATGGCTCAAAGTTCTGATCGCTGGACATCTAAGATTTTGTGTCTTCCAATTTTCTCTGATGCCTTCGCTCAGGCGCTGTTGGCTTCACCTTATGCCAACTTGGCGCTGGTGTCAGCGATGGAGGTGCGATCGGGCCCGGAGTTCACCGTGAAGGTGCACGACTGGTCAGCATCCCTAGAGGAGACCGTTCGTGATGTTTTGCTCAGCAACAGTTTTATGCTGGAACAGTTTTGGAGTCTAGCTACTTCGATCGAGAAGGCATTTTTCGAATCCTCTGCAAATCAGCTGGGTTTCGGGCAGTGCGATCCGACTACTTTGGCGTTGAGTGCCGAGACCGCTAGTGCTCGTAGGGCTAATGCCATCAAAGCTCTGTTGCACAAGCCGGCTCAACCGCCCAGGAAACTGCTCAAGAAGTCTGATTCGGATCCGACGTCCACACCGCTGTTGGACCAGGAGAATGCCGCTCGGTGGAAGTGGGCTTCTAAACTGGAGGCCATAGGGAAACGGGCGGGTCAACACTCCAAGCTCTTGCTGGATACCACCAACAGCGAAGGGCTCTCGCCGGGTGAGACCGCTCGGCTACGCCAATTAGTGTTGGCATCGGGGGCTCCACGGACTATGTCGGCCCACATCTCCGCATGGGAGCGGTTCGAGGAGTGGGCCAATAGTGTTGGGATCCCCGTTTTTCCTTTGTCTTCTGATTTGATTCTGAAGTATGCTCTAGCTCTTGACGAGAAAGAATGTGGTCCCACAGTTTTGCCTTCTTTTAGGATGTCAATTAAGTGGGTAACATCTAAACTGGCGATCGACTGTCCTGATTTGTCCCATCCCGCTCTGTTGGCGGTTCAGTCGGACATCATTCAGAAAAGGGCCACCACATTGAAAGAAGCCCAGCCCATCCCGATCGTGGCGGTCGGAAGTCTGGAGCAGTTCGTCACAGACGTGCAGCAGCCAGAGGCAGCTAGGCTCTTTGCATGGTGGTGGCTCTGCATGGTCTTCGCATCGCTGAGGTTCGACGATGCCATGCATGTCAGGCCAACTGAGTTGATCATGAAAGACGAAGGGCTCTTTGGCGTCGCTTGGCAGACGAAAGTCGAGCGCAAACGCCGTGGCACGAAGTTCGTAGTGCCGAGAGTTGGCTTTCGTGATTCAGCCTGGCTTGACGTTGGCTGGGACCTTTTGCAGCTCGAAGATTTGGATCGTGACTTCTGGATGAGAGACTTGAACACCCAGACGGAGTTCAGGTCCGCACCAGCTCAATATCAACGTTCCATTCAGTGGCTGCGTTTCATTGGCAAGCTCGCCATCAAGACCTACTTTAGTGGGCCTGAGGGTAAGCTCAATGAGGCCGTGGACGGGTTGCTCAAGGTCACAGCCCACTCAGCTCGGGTCACCATGTTGGACGCTGCAGTACATGCTCGCCGATCGACGGAGGAGATTGGACTGCAAGCGAACTGGAAAAATCCGGGTCCTCTAGTGTTGAAATACACCAGGAACCGGACCAGCGTACCAGCTCAGATGGTTCAACAGCTGGTCAAAGACAT